TAAGTACTGCCACAGCCGTTTCTCGGCCATTTCACGAACTCTCAGCGTCAAGCGTAACTTAACTCATCCCGCCGAAGCTGGGCCTTGAAACGCGAACAAGGTAAAGCATTTTATCAACCTAACCAGGGTTAATGCTTAAGCTGTTGCACAATTTTAAGTTGAAAATTGTAACGTGTCTTAATGGCCAGGATAAGTGGAGAAAAAGATGAATTATCTAACCACGCGTTTGCTATATCGCACGGTACAATTTTACAGCGAATTAAGTCCCTAACTGCGTTTTTAGCCGCAATCTCTGTAGCAGATATATATTTGGCCTCACTTACACTTAGATCGATAGACCTAGATAAACTTAAAACTATATACAATTATTTTTTATCAATTCAGAATTCGGGGTCAGGTAAGCTTCAATTTTTCCCTTTAAAATCTTCATGTTTGTAGTAATTTTCAGTTGAAAACTTATTCCTGTAATATTCGCCTGTTATCATGTAGAACATACCTCGGTTTCGGGAAATAAAAAAAAATACAAGAGTGACAACACGTTCATTTTACAGATAAATATCCCACGGATAATTGTGAACACGTAAAAAGCTTTTCAGCCGGGAAAATATAGCCAAATCGCCTCGAACAACTCTATCATCTCACTAGTTAAACCATCACGAGTGAATAAACACAAAGACCAATTCGCTTCGTAGTCTAAAGACGACCCTGTATAAATGGCTTGCAGGTACTTGCTTCAACTGCCCTCGAAAAACTTATATAGCACCAGTGAAGTTCTCCCACATTTTTCACCACAGATACAAGTTAATCTTCTTTCCGTAATCTTTCCGAGCAGGGAAGGTTGATTTTCACTGTATAAACAAACAAGCTAGTTCAACAACTTTGTGTGTGCATTTTCCCTTTTTCTTATGCAAATCCTTGCGTTGTCCGAAAAGAAAAAGGTTTTCGTGAATATAGTGATATCTTTAAGTCTACAAAAAAAGGCTCTCTCGATCTCTCAAAAGATTCATTATTTCTTCGTTTGAGCAAGCTTTTAAACTGCCAATGTCCATGCTAAAATAGTTTCTAGCGAATGGTATTATTAATTCGACCGCACGAAGCCGCAAAATTTTACTGAAACTTATCACGGCTGGTGCTTCATTCTTTCTCTGCCTTTTCATGATATATTTCTTTGAAAAATAGCGTAATTAACCATTTTGTAATTGAGAAAGGTCCAAATCGTTTTGTTACCCCCCAGGTGGGAAGCGAAAATTGTCAAAGATCTAAAAACTTAATGATACGAAGTGGGATCTCTCTTAAGTCGTGGATGGTGTACCCCCACGAAGGTATTGTAAAGAGTCCACAACAAACACGGCTGGATTGGCGAGTGCCTATCACGTAAAACTGAACCCACGCATTCAAGAACCGAGGAAATGTAAGTAAACTTTGGGATTATGAAACAATTTTGCAGTAGGTCATAAGTATTCTTAAATTCTTGTGTAATGCTTAATTGGTGCAAGCTCTTCACCTCAGGGTGATCAACTATTATTGTGGTTAAAATA